GCGGTACACAAGGGCGTATTTTACCGAGTACCGTTGCATCCCTAGTATGGGCATGGTGGCGTCGCGGCCGTACCTACCGTACCATTTGTTTATTAATTGTTCTCTCTTACTTGATTTTAATGTCTGGGTGACTGAGGTAGTCTTTTCGATGTCTGGGATGGCAGGGATCGGGAGCGCTTTTAATGTAAGAGTGTGGCAGCAACTGTTTTTATGTGGTTTTACTCGTGGCCTTCCATATTCTGATGTTTTATCCCTGTTTTTAACTGTTGCAAAGTATTCTGTGTGGTTGAGAAGGAACTGTGTCAGACATGATGGTGTGGTTTTAAACCCGATAGTAAACCCGGTTTAGGAAGGTTTGAACTGGATGCTACTTGTGAATTCTTGGCCCCGTCTGGTTTGATTGCCACTTTTATTTCTGGACCTTTTGTTTCTTTTTTTGGGGGGGGGATGTTTGATTTGGAAATGGGATGATTTTTGAGAGTGGGTTTTATCAGTGTGTTTTTTAGTCTTGTATTTTTTGGTGATTTGTGTTTTCTTGTATTATTTATTGATGTTCTGTATTTTGATTGGATTAAATGTTTTTTTTATTTTATTTTTTATTATTCCACATTAAATGATGATAGACATGCTTCACTAGGCTTGACTGCGGAGGTGTAGTTCACAGGCTGCACCTGTGACTTACCCCCTGGTTGATGCTATTACTGCTCTGGGGTGCCTTTCCCAAACAACGATGGAAGTTAGCATTAACGATGCATCATACTATGGTAGTTCAAATTAACCAACATCCGACGTACGACTGTTTACCAAAACCATCGTACCACAGTAGTATGAACCACGTTAGTTTTTAACTACTGTAGTTTGAACTACAATGGTTTCAGCGATGAATGGTCTGACTCACGGCGAGTCGTGCGCAAAAACGAACAAACTTCATAATATCAATGGTCTAACTTTAACAGCCGGTCGCATACAAAAATTCGCGAACTGTAATATATAAATATAGAATAACCAAACATCACAGACGTCATCGTACTACGTAAGTTGCCAACGTAGGTGGCAACTATGGTTTTGGGAAACGCACCCCTGTGCAGTGCTGTGTTGCATAGTCATGTCTGAGTGATTTAATTAGGAAAAAAATAAAAGTGGTTAGCACAGCTATCTCATGCCTCTGGGACCTGGTTTAAGCCTCACCCTCCCCACACACCACCACCACAATAGTGTGTT